TGCTGGTGTGTTAAATTTTTTGACATAGGGTGCAGGCAGATTACGGGCCTCACATAGCTGCTGCCAGGCCCCTAATCTGCCATGGGCCCCTATATACCGCCTCCTCATGCTGCTGCCAAGTCCAGAGTCTCTCATGGGTCCCTGTACGGCCTCCCATTGCTGCTGTCTCCATCGCCACACACTCTGCTGCCATGTGCCACTTTCAGGTCTCTCTTCACACTGCTGGTGTGTTAAATTTTTTGACATAGGGTGCAGGCAGATTACGGGGCCTCACATAGCTGCTGCCAGGCCCCTAATCTGCCATGGGCCCCTATATATACCGCCTCCTCATGCTGCTGCTGCCAAGTCCAGAGTCTCTCATGGGTCCCTGTACGGCCTCCCATTGCTGCTGTCTCCATCGCCACACACTCTGCTGCCATGTGCCACTTTCAGGTCTCTTCACACTGCTGGTGTGTTAAATTTTTTGACATAGGGTGCAGGCAGATTACGGGCCTCACATAGCTGCTGCCAGGCCCCTAATCTGCCATGGGGCCCCCTATACCCCTCCTCCTGCTGCTGCCAAGTCCAGAGTCTCTCATGGGTCCCTGTACGGCCTCCCATTGCTGCTGTCTCCATCGCCACACTCTGCTGCCATGTGCCACTTTCAGGTCTCTCTCTTCACACTGCTGGTGTGTTAATTTTTTTTTGACATAGGGTGCAGGCAGATTACGGGCCTCACATAGCTGCTGCCAGGCCCCTAATCTGCCATGGGCCCCTATATACCGCCTCCTCATGCTGCTGCCAAGTCCAGAGTCTCTCATGGGTCCCTGTACGGCCTCCCATTGCTGCTGTCTCCATCGCCACACTCTGCTGCCATGTGCCACTTTCAGGTCTCTTCACACTGCTGGTGTGTTAAATTTTTTGACATAGGGTGCAGGCAGATTACGGGCCTCACATAGCTGCTGCCAGGCCCCTAATCTGCCATGGGCCCCCCTATATACCGCCTCCTCATGCTGCTGCCAAGTCCAGAGTCTCTCATGGGTCCCTGTACGGCCTCCCATTGCTGCTGTCTCCATCGCCACACTCTGCTGCCATGTGCCACTTTCAGGTCTCTTCACACTGCTGGTGTGTTAAATTTTTTGACATAGGGTGCAGGCAGATTACGGGCCTCACATAGCTGCTGCCAGGCCCCTAATCTGCCATGGGCCCCTATATACCGCCTCCTCATGCTGCTGCCAAGTCAGAGTCTCTCATGGGTCCCTGTACGGCCTCCCATTGCTGCTGTCCTCCATCGCCACACTCTGCTGCCATGTGCCACTTTCAGGTCTCTTCACACTGCTGGTGTGTTTATTTTTTTTTTGACATAGGGTGCAGGCAGATTACGGGCCTCACATAGCTGCTGCCAGGCCCCTAATCTGCCATGGGCCCCCCTATATACCGCCTCCTCATGCTGCTGCCAAGTCCAGAGTCTCTCATGGGTCCCTGTACGGCCTCCCATTGCTGCTGCTGTCTCCATCGCCACACTCTGCTGCCATGTGCCACTTTCAGGTCTCTTCACACTGCTGTGTTTAAATTTTTTGACATAGGGTGCAGGCAGATTACGGGCCTCACATAGCTGCTGCCAGGCCCCTAATCTGCCATGGGCCCCTATATACCGCCTCCTCATGCTGCTGCCAAGTCCAGAGTCTCTCATGGGTCCCTGTACGGCCTCCCATTGCTGCTGTCTCCATCGCCACACTCTGCTGCCATGTGCCACTTTCAGGTCTCTTCACACTGCTGGTGTGTTTAAATTTTTTGACATAGGGTGCAGGCAGATTACGGCCTCACCTCACATAGCTGCTGCCAGGCCCCTAATCTGCCATGGGCCCCTATATACCGCCTCCTCATGCTGCTGCCAAGTCCTAGAGTCTCTCATGGGTCCCTGTACGGCCTCCCATTGCTGCTGTCTCCATCGCCACACTCTGCTGCCATGTGCCACTTTCAGGTCTCTTCACACTGCTGGTGTGTTAAATTTTTTGACATAGGGTGCAGGCAGATTACGGGCCTCACATAGCTGCTGCCAGGCCCCTAATCTGCCATGGGCCCCTATATACCGCCTCCTCATGCTGCTGCCAAGTCCAGAGTCTCTCATGGGTCCCTGTACGGCCTCCCATTGCTGCTGTCTCCATCGCCACACTCTGCTGCCATGTGCCACTTTCAGGTCTCTTCACACTGCTGGTGTGTTTAATTTTTTTGACATAGGGTGCAGGCAGATTACGGGCCTCACATAGCTGCTGCCAGGCCCCTAATCTGCCATGGGCCCCTAATACCGCCTCCTCCTCATGCTGCTGCCAAGTCCAGAGTCTCATGGGTCCCTGTACGGCCTCCCATTGCTGCTGTCTCCATCGCCACACTCTGCTGCCATGTGCCACTTTCAGGTCTCTTCACACTGCTGGTGTGTTTAAATTTTTTGACATAGGGTGCAGGCAGATTACGGGCCTCACATAGCTGCTGCCAGGCCCCTAATCTGCCATGGGCCCCTATATACCGCCTCCTCATGCTGCTGCCAAGTCCAGAGTCTCTCATGGGTCCCTGTACGGCCTCCCATTGCTGCTGTCTCCATCGCCACACTCTGCTGCCATGTGCCACTTTCAGGTCTCTTCACACTGCTGGTGTGTTAAATTTTTTTTTTGACATAGGGTGCAGGCAGATTACGGGCCTCACATAGCTGCTGCCAGGCCCCTAATCTGCCATGGGCCCCTGGGCCCCTATATACCGCCTCCTCATGCTGCTGCCAAGTCCAGAGTCTCTCATGGGTCCCTGTACGGCCTCCCATTGCTGCTGTCTCCATCGCCACACTCTGCTGCCATGTGCCACTTTCAGGTCTCTTCACACTGCTGGTGTGTTTAAATTTTTTGACATAGGGTGCAGGCAGATTACGGGCCTCACATAGCTGCTGCCAGGCCCCTAATCTGCCATGGGCCCCTATATACCGCCTCCTCATGCTGCTGCCAAGTCTAGAGTCTCTCATGGGTCCCTGTACGGCCTCCCATTGCTGCTGTCTCCATCGCCACACTCTGCTGCCATGTGCCACTTTCAGGTCTCTTCACACTGCTGGTGTGTTTAAATTTTTTGACATAGGGTGCAGGCAGATTACGGGCCTCACATAGCTGCTGCCAGGCCCCTAATCTGCCATGGGCCCCTATATACCGCCTCCTGCATGCTGCTGCCAAGTCCAGAGTCTCTCATGGGTCCCTGTACGGCCTCCCATTGCTGCTGTCTCCATCGCCACCTCTGCTGCCATGTGCCACTTTCAGGTCTCTTCACACTGCTGGTGTGTTAAATTTTTTGACATAGGGTGCAGGCAGATTACGGGCCTCACATAGCTGCTGCCAGGCCCCTAATCTGCCATGGGCCCCTATATACCGCCTCCTCATGCTGCTGCCAAGTCCAGAGTCTCTCATGGGTCCCTGTACGGCCTCCCATTGCTGCTGTCTCCATCGCCACACTCTGCTGCCATGTGCCACTTTCAGGTCTCTTCACACTGCTGGTGTGTTAAATTTTTTGACATAGGGTGCAGGCAGATTACGGGCCTCACATAGCTGCTGCCAGGCCCCTAATCTGCCATGGGCCCCTATATACCGCCTCCTCATGCTGCTGCCAAGTCCAGAGTCTCTCATGGGTCCCTGTACGGCCTCCCATTGCTGCTGTCTCCATCGCCACACTCTGCTGCCATGTGCCACTTTCAGGTCTCTTCACACTGCTGGTGTGTTAAATTTTTTTGACATAGGGTGCAGGCAGATTACGGGCCTCACATAGCTGCTGCCAGGCCCCTAATCTGCCATGGGCCCCTATATATACCGCCTCCTCATGCTGCTGCCAAGTCCAGAGTCTCTCATGGGTCCCTGTACGGCCTCCCATTGCTGCTGTCTCCATCGCCACACTCTGCTGCCATGTGCCACTTTCAGGTCTCTTCACACTGCTGGTGTGTTAAATTTTTTGACATAGGGTGCAGGCAGATTACGGGCCTCACATAGCTGCTGCCAGGCCCCTAATCTGCCATGGGCCCCTATATACCGCCTCCTCATGCTGCTGCCAAGTCTAGAGTCTCTCATGGGTCCCTGTACGGCCTCCCATTGCTGCTGTCTCCATCGCCACACTCTGCTGCCATGTGCCACTTTCAGGTCTCTTCACACTGCTGGTGTGTTAAATTTTTTGACATAGGGTGCAGGCAGATTACGGGCCTCACATAGCTGCTGCCAGGCCCCTAATCTGCCATGGGCCCCTATATACCGCCTCCTCATGCTGCTGCCAAGTCCAGAGTCTCTCATGGGTCCCTGTACGGCCTCCCATTGCTGCTGTCTCCATCGCCACACTCTGCTGCCATGTGCCACTTTCAGGTCTCTTCACACTGCTGGTGTGTTAAATTTTTTGACATAGGGTGCAGGCAGATTACGGGCCTCACATAGCTGCTGCCAGGCCCCTAATCTGCCATGGGCCCCTATATATACCGCCTCCTCATGCTGCTGCCAAGTCAGAGTCTCTCATGGGTCCCTGTACGGCCTCCCATTGCTGCTGTCTCCATCGCCACACTCTGCTGCCATGTGCCACTTTCAGGTCTCTTCACACTGCTGGTGTGTTAATTTTTTGACATAGGGTGCAGGCAGATTACGGGCCTCACATAGCTGCTGCCAGGCCCCTAATCTGCCATGGGCCCCTATATACCGCCCGCCCTCCTCATGCTGCTGCCAAGTCTAGAGTCTCTCATGGGTCCCTGTACGGCCTCCCATTGCTGCTGTCTCCATCGCCACACTCTGCTGCCATGTGCCACTTTCAGGTCTCTTCACACTGCTGGTGTGTTTAAATTTTTTGACATAGGGTGCAGGCAGATTACGGGCCTCACATAGCTGCTGCCAGGCCCCTAATCTGCCATGGGCCCCTATATACCGCCTCCTCATGCTGCTGCTGCCAAGTCCAGAGTCTCTCATGGGTCCCTGTACGGCCTCCCATTGCTGCTGTCTCCATCGCCACACTCTGCTGCCATGTGCCACTTTCAGGTCTCTTCACACTGCTGGTGTGTTAAATTTTTTGACATAGGGTGCTGGCAGATTACGGGCCTCCCATTGCTGCTGCCAGACATGTAATCTGCCATGGGCCCCCGTACCGACTCCTCATGCTGTGACGTTGCAACAAGGTAATTCAACCCTACATATGTTAGACCGCCTTTACGAACAGCTAAAGGGCCATCACAGATTTCCTGATGTTAAAAGCGGATAAAGGTACTCCCTGTGTAACTTAGATGTCAGCCATTGTCAGCTCATGTGTGACACCTGCGCTTGCTCAGGCCCTTTGAGGAGGCCACGCTATTCGTGAGTCGGCAGGACTATGGGATGAATGAGGTCAAATCGGCCATGGGCCCCCGTACCGCCTGTTCACGCTGATGCTGGTCCCACAGTGTGACCTGGGTCCCTGTACGGCCTCCCATTGCTTCCACTCTGCCATGTACCTCTTTGAAATCTCCTCACACTCCTGCGGTTGTCCATTTTGTCATAGGTTGCTGGCAGATTAGCGGCCTTCCATAGGTGCCGCCAGGCCCCATATCGACCATGGGCCCCCGTACCTCCTGGTCACGCTGCTGCTGAGCCCACAGTGTGACCTGGGTCCCTGTACGGCCTCCCATTGCTTCCACTCTGCCATGTGCCACTTTGAAATCTCCTCACACTCCTGCGGTTCCATTTTGTCATAGGTTGCTGGCAGATTACAGGCCTTCCATAGGTGCCACCAAGCCCCATATCGGCCATGGGCCCCCGTACCGCCTGGTCACGCTGCTGCTGGGCCCACAGTGTGACCTGGGTCCCTGTACCGCCTCCCATTGCTCCCACTCTGCCATGTGCCACTTTCAGGTCTCCTCACGCTCCTGCTGGTTTCCATTTTGTCATAGGTTGCTGTATGGCCTCCCATTGCTGCTGCCTCCACCGCCACACTGTGGCTCCAAACACTGGTTTTGGCCCCGTGACTGGCCAAAGGAGTGAAGTGTGCAGTGATTCTAAGATCGACGGCACTCATCTGCATGTCATACTGAGAATATTGTCCACGAATTCGCCGAATCAGTCGAATCGAATTTTTTCATTTCTTCGCTCATCTCTAGTTATAAGGTTAGAGTTTAGAAATTTAGTTAAAGTTTTAGGAAGTTTTGAAAGTATGGAAGAGTAGTTATTCAGCAGAGATCTTCTTCAGTCAGGTTTTCTTTTTGCTGCGGTCTTTCTTTGATGAGTTTTTCTTGATGAGGTCTTCTGATGAGGTTCTTTCCATGAGGTTTTCTTTTTTTTAAAGGTACAAGGGCTTTTATATCCACTAATCCATTGTTCTAAGATACCTTCCCACCAGGCTTCTTGATTGGCTAGTTGAGAAATGTGTGTACATAAGCTATTTCTCACCTGCCCGCCAGGTGGCGGTCATGTATCATAGAACAATTTGAGTATTTGAGATGACTCATACCTCGGGTGGAATCTTAAGGTAATTTCAGGGATCAAATATACGTCTTTTTCCAGATATAAGTGATCATACCTATAATATTCTAAATAGGGACCATGAATATAGGTGTATATTCAGTTATTCCTTCTTGAAGTACCATCCTGTTTGTTTCCTGATAAGACATGTACTGATGCTAGTTTTTATAATACATCTTACTTTCCATCATCTCAATACTCAAGTTAGTGATATATAGTTCCCATTGCTGAATATTTAGTGATGTGTAAAATCTATAACATCTCATTTATAATATGTTTTTGTAATATATCTTCGTAATTATATACAGTCAATTTTTAGGCTTAAATGTCCTGAATTTCACCTCTTTGTTTTAGAACCAACATTTTCTATGTGTAGGGAAAAACTCTTTGTTTGCCTGGCTCTTGTATTGGAATCATGGTAAACAACTGTTAATGCTTTCACCCTTGGTGAACAATAGTATATTGTAATAGTTTTTTTCAGAGGTCTGTTAGTTCATCACACTCTGCAAGTTTTGGTTAAGCTTTCAACCAGTTGAGTTCCCGTCTCATTATTGTTAAAATGTTTGAAAGTCGAAGTCCTATCTGGCTATTTGTTTGACTTTCTGTATATG